TATAAACTTACTGGAAATGCTTCGAAGATTTGGCCCTAATGAAGTAGTAAGAATCGCAACAGATTCTATATATATACAGAGAGAGGCCTTATATAAGATCGAAAACATATCTGCCTTTTTTAAGCAAGTTAAGCAAAAGATTAGCTATTCCAAAGATTCGGTAAATACTAGTAAATTTCTATGTCTATACAACTGGTATTTATGTGCAGTGTGTAACAACCCATCATTTATAGAATCGGTTAAAGTATTCCAAAAAACTAAAATGCCTTTAGCAGTAGGAGAATATTTTCTATGTAGCAAATATAAACTATTTGTTTGTCATGATTGCTTTTGGGATTGGTATACTCATAAAGGTTTTTAGGAAGTTATCCCTAATAAGAAGCCATCTAGCAATACTAGTATAGCCATTACTAAAATATCTGAACCTCTAAAAGAAAAAATTCTTTCAGAACTGATTAAAGAAATACAGCCTAGACAATGGCGTGATAAAGGAGAAAAAATTCATGGTCCAGATCCTAATATTGTATACTGGCCAAAAAATAGACATTAGGAATCGATTAAAGATATTACTGAAAGTACTGCTCCATCAATTCATGATCCTATTACAAGATCCCGAGTTTCTTATCTCAATAGAGGTGGTGGTTTTGGAAAGACAACGTGTGCAATTCGAATCTTCAAAGATATAAATATGGTTGTTTTCATCCATACAAATGCGCTAGCTAAAGATTTCCAAAATGACTGTAAAGTAAAAGCCCAAACTTGGCATAGCTTCTTTAGATGGAATGCGTGGGAGAATGGACACCTGAATATATGGAAGAAAAGAAATTTCCATGAGTTGTCATCTGGGACGAGGTATACACAGTGCCTAGGCACATTCTCGAAATGTTTATTGACTACTTACTAGAGCAAAAATGTCAGGTAATCTGTTGCGGAGATGATGCTCAGCCTCCACCATTCTTTGAAGAAATGCCTCATGACTGGTTAAAAGAGCAAGCTGATTACTATGAGGAAGTCTTAACTAACTATCGGGCCAAATGTCCTAGATTACAAGAGCTTAAGAAAAAAATGCGATGCCAAAATAACAGAGTGCAGTCAGACTTATTCCGTGAAGCACTTCCGAATACAGAAAAATAGAAATATCTTGAAGCTGAATAGAAGCCATCAGATATTATCTTATCAGCATATATACTTTTCCGAAGAATTGCTTCCCAAAAATGCTTAAAAATTCATCAAGTAAAATATCCCAAAATTCCAATCCCATTAATTTATAGGCCAAAAGATAGACACAAACAGAATTGTCTTGTTCAAATTCCCGGCTTATCTGAAAAGAAGGAGTTAGTAAAAAATGATATAGTATATTTGCCCTTAAATATACTTCCTGACAAGTTCTTAAAAGATATATTAGTAGATAAAAAAGTCATAGATTGGGAACTCAGATACGCAATAACGATTTATACTAGTCAAGGAATGACTCTTAAGTCACCACAACGTGTTTGGGTCATTGATGAAAACCTAGCCTGGGATAATCTAATATATTTGGCAGTTGGTTATGTAGAATATTTAAGCCAACTCATTTGGGTTGAAGCACCTCCATTACCTCCTGAAATTGCCCAAGAGATTGAGGAGGCAAAAAAGAAAAAACGGCTAGAACACAAATTGAGGCCGTCTATTCAGAAAAAACTTATCGGATATATGGGCTAGGATAAAGAAAAAGGCCGTGAATTTGATCTAACAGTCAACTATATCCTTACATTAAAACATATTCAAGAAGACAAATGCACATTATGTCTTATTGAAATGAAATTCGAATGGGATCGGCCAGGAGAGATATCCCAGTAGACAGTAGATCGAATCCACAATAGTTTATGGCATATTAAAGGAATCGTACACCTCACTTGTCTACTTTGCAACTGAAATCATAGAGTCTAGATCATGGCAGTGATCCAGATGCTTACATAGCTATTATATATTATTTTTTTCTTTAAAATAAAAAATATTTGCAAAATACTTTTCAAACTTGAAAAGTTAAAATATAAAATTAAGATGCCATGTGAAATTCTTATTAAATAAAAGTCTTAGTTAATAAAATCCATATGTTTGAAATATAAACATGTCTAATATTCAAGATATTTTTAAGGAATAGAAAAAAAATAGTTATACCCGATACATGTTATCTGAATATGGCTTAAACTATATTAGTAATTTAAAAACACCAGAAGCTTGGCTATGATTTGCGAAGTATTATCTGCCCGAATATATACGTAAACGTTTATTTATACCAGAACATGAAATAAAAGGTAAGAACTATTGGAGAAACTTTGTATTTCGTATTAAAAATGATTTAACCAGAAGAGAATATATAGTTAATAACTCGAATTTAGAGAATTTAAAACCCAAGTAGCATATTTTAAAACTTTGTATATAAAAACTCGACCGGCTATTATCATCTAGTAAGCATATCGTTTATGGAAAAAATGAATAAATTCAGCTATAATAATTTAGCGTGCAGTGAAGAAATGGCTTTATCTACTAGTGGCATATTAATGAAACGTGCCCAAGATCAGTATTATCAAAATGCTAATAAACTTGAAAATTTGAGGTAACTGGGAAAACTTTTGCTAACCCTATATTAAAAATTTACTTGAGCAGTCCGATCCAACTAGTCTAGGATACTGATCAGTAATTCGAAAAATTTTTTGCTTAGCCACATATACTACTAGTGTTTTATTTTTTTCTGATTGAAAATCTTCAAATCATATAAAATGCATACAGTTAATTCCACAATCAATGAGTAATTAATCTATCAACTTTTTTCCCAAAGGTTCTGGCATATTACACCTATTACAAATCTTTAAATTAGTATTACACAAGTCAATCTGATGCCTCTGATGTTAGAATGAGACAAATGGAAATTACACTAGCGATTTACAGATCTGATTCTAGGGGCACTATAATATCATCCATTCTATATAATAAAATTCTATTATGGGTTATTGTTAGATTTTATAGATATGAATTGAGGTTAAAAATGATATACTGTTGAACCTCCCAAACCCGGTACGCATGGTGGACAGATTTTGTATCGGTATTGAGAGGTTATCAGATTTGAA